ACGACTTGGTCTATGAAGAAGTCGACAACCTGCTTATTGACCTGCTGCGACAAATGCTCACCAAGAACCCCGAAAAACGAATTCGACTTCGAGACATCAAGCGTCACCCATGGGTCGTCCAGGATATCATGAATCCTATTGGATGGCTCGACGACACTGACCCTGCTCGCCCTTCCTCTGGTCGAAAGATCCAAGTCGATGAGAGGGAAATGTCATCCGCTGTCGTGCCTCTTACCTTTCTGGAGCGTGCTCGCTCAGTGGTCAAGAAGGCTGTTGGCAAGGTAATGCACCCCCTTGTGGAACGAAGTGATAGCAAAACGCGACATCGAGCCAACAGTAGTGCTGCTAGCTCCACCGGCGACAACGTAAGCATGTACAATAACGGACCTCCGACTCCTCATGGGCAACACCGCGAGAATCGCCGCAAGAGTCTCCGCCCTGACGACTACTTCGCGAGTGCCATGCGAGATGCCGCCGCGGCGCCCGAACATCCTCTTTCAGTCAGCCAATCAGTCAGTCCACAGCCCGAATCTGTCATCTATGACCCGTTGGCGACTGTTCTCCCCGAAGCCGGCGTCTACCGAGGCCATCATCATGCTCATAGTGAGAGCGAGTCGATACGCGAACCCGAGAAGTCATCTTCGGCAGCCTCTCTATGGCCCTTCCATCGTCACGCTCATAGCCATGGACATACTAAAACCACTCAACACTGGCTCCATCTTGGTTCCCCCATGCCCATCTCTCAAACCACTCCTACTACGCCTTACTTCTCCAGCCCAGTCGACGGACCAGATGACTCTGGTGCCGAGACAGTCCGAAAGACTCGCGACCTGGACTTGACGGATTCCATGGATGAAAGCTCGCGGTCCAAGTCCGTCGACCGTGGCCTCTTCTCAAGCTCAGATAAACGCGCTGAACCTAAGGTAGGCGTCAATACTACCGTTGCCCCTGGCAGTGTCCAAGCACCACCTCGTCATGGAAGACGACCTGTCAAGTCTGTTGACTTGGGCAAGGCTTCGCACCATAGACGCTTGGAAGCCTCTATACTCTCTTCATCTCTTGCCGTCGCCGCCGGTCAACAGTATAGTCACGCAGGTTCCACCCGCTCTGTTGAACCTTGCAACAAGACCCGACCGCGATCCCTTCAGAGAATGGATAGCGCCCCGATCACAAGAACGTCACCACCTCGTCACTCGGAAGATCTCTGCATGCGACGATGTGATCGACAAACTGAACAGATCAGTTACTCTTGCCCGCCCTCACCTATCCAGGAGGAATGGACTCGAGATGAACCCCTTCCACGCGCAGATACCATGCCCACCACTAAGTCGTCAAGTGTCGATTCAATGGAGGCTTTGGCCACTCCATCGACTAGCCCCAGTGTCACCAGCCCTGTCTCAGCACTCCCTTCTACAGCCAGCACATCAGAGCGGATGTTGGCATTCCAGTCCGATCCCTCTCTGCCAGCCCTGCTCAGTGGTGCCAGCTCCGTTTCAGCCGACATGGAAGCCGAGCTGTTGTGCAAGCCAGGCATTGTTAGCGCTCACCCTCAGCTACTCGAAACCACCGACAGTCTGACGCCACCGGCTTTTGACAAGGAACCCAATGGCTTTCCCATTGATCACGTGTACGGCAATCCTCCTGCTATGGACAGCGGCTCCCTTGCTGTCCATCTAGAAGGTAGTGCTCGGGACTCGGTGACTAGCACTCCCGTTGCCCGGCCCGTCGACGATGATTTAGACGACGATGGCAGTGATGACGGGATCTTGCTCATGGCCACCAAGTCAAAGAAGAAGCCAGCGCAGAATACGTCACGACCTCCAGTCTTCAACCCGCGAAGACGTGACACCAACATTAGCATTGCGAGCACCGAAACTGCCAAGAAGGTGCCAACCTCTGCATATGGTGACGAGGGGACGTCACCCTATGAAACATGATACCCCTTCCCTGTTTCGTGGCATATTTATTAAGTTCATTTATTTCTCTTATCACATACTTTGTCAAATGCCAGACAACCATTGAGAGTCTTTTTCATTATGGGTTGAGTTGCATCTTCAGTTGCCTGGAGAAATGTTTTTGAGCATGAGGCCTTCGCTTTGCACGAAGCTTGGCATCACATCAGGTGTTTTCTTGTTATTAGATCGTTGCTCGCATCCCAGAGAGGGATCGTTATTGCATTGCTATTTTATGGCATATCATGGGTGGCTCAGTTGCTATAAAGATTTATCCCGTGTTGTTTTTGGGACGGATAGTTGTTCGTGGGCGGGATGTATGGATGAGGAAATGAGAATAATGACGGGTTTATGAGCTGGAATGAAATCGAAGGAGGAGGACAAGGATGGTATGTATCGGATGAACGGCAGAGAGGCCCAGAACGTCACCGCTTCGTCGGAAGCCAGTCCTATGTTGACGGACGCATTGTTTATATATATGACGAGAAGGAGGAGGAATAAGAATGAATCCCTTGCATTTTTCATGCTGGGCTATATACAGCGGCATCAGAGCAGCCTGCCCTGGGGAACAGGGAGGCTTGCGTGCATTTGCATAGATATGGTGGAGAGATTTGTTGCTTTCTTTAGCTGGATGTCATTCCATCTTTCGAAGATTTGTGTCAGTGCTGTGCATCTGACACCGGTAATAATAGCCCCTTGAAACTGCAGAACTCTGAGCCTACTAATATGTGAACTTACCTGTATAAACTTCGATGAAGTTATGTGAGCTTATATAAACCGATATGAACTTAAATAAACTTATGTAAACTTATGTATAATAGAAGTCAAAATGAGTCTGGTGGTATATTAGAATAAAAACTATACATGTCTGCTACACGGCAAATTCCGATACTACCTCATCCTTTTTGCTCGCAAGGAGTGCTGATACCACCAGTCCCAAAACACACACCACCAAGACTCCAGCGGCGTTGACGACTGTTCGCATGGCAGATACGGGGGGTTTCTTGCTGACGATATCAACCAGGATCTCATCAAAGCGCTTGGCCATCTGCTCTCGCCCAAACAAGTCCTTCACTCTCGCAGCACCCTTATCGCCCATCTTCTGCACATCAGCATCGCTAAGTCTCAACGCACTGCGCACGACATCAGCCCAGGCATCTACGTCCTTCGGCGATCGCAGCCATCCCGTCTCGCCATCAACGATTGTTTCTACGGGGCCACCTGAGTCGGCAGCTAGTACTGGTGTACGGGCGAGCATGGCTTCTAGGGGGACGATGCCGAAGTGCTCGTTGGCGGGTGTGTAAAGAAGAATGCGTGCTGATCGGAGGAGCGATGCCTTGAGGGAGTTGGGGATCGAGAGGAGAAAGAGAACGGGAACGGTTGCAGGCGCAGATAGAGCGGTAATGAGGGTTTTTGTGGTGAGGTGTTCGAGACCGTGGGAAGAGGCGAGGGCCTCAAGCTCAGAGTGATATTGAACATTCTCAGCGACGCGAGGATCGTAGCCGCCTAATGATGAGTTAGTATTACTTTCGGGCTAGAGGCTTATGTGTATCCTACCTGCAAGAATGAGCCTGCACCCCTTACGCTCAGCTTCAGGAATTGCAGCAAAAGCCTTGATCGCAAGACCAATATCCTTCTTCCTCTCAAAGCGGTTGATACTGAGAATAATCTTCTCCCCCTTGAACGGAGCATCACCATCACTGCTAGCATCCTCTTTCTCCTTGACATCCGTATCCACACAAGGATACACCACCTTCGTTTCCGTACGCTTCTTCAAATTCGGCCACGTGTTGTTAACAACGCCCTTTGTGAAACCCGAATTCACAGCCACGGCGCTCGCAAATCCCATAGTCCACTCCTCAAGCCAGTCAAACGGACGTCGGTACAAGCGCTTGAGGGCAGATTCGCGACCTTGAGCGAGGAGAAGATCGGGGAAATGGCAGTAGAAGAGGATGGGCGAGGATGGAGCGATGTAGCGCATTAGAGGGAGGCCGGCGGAGAGCTGATCGACGATAAAGGCGCGGGGTCTTAGGGCTTGCAGTTCGCCGGTCAGAGCAATGTGGATGAGAAGATGGACGTGACGAAGGATGGCGCAGAGGATTGTGAGGCGCGAGAGGATAGACATTGGGATGAGCCAGTGGCCACGAACACGAACATCGAGGGTTCCTAGTCCCGTTAGTTAACTCGTATACAAACAGTCTTGGAGTTGTTACCATCACGACACTCATCAAAGCAATGCTTCGGATCGCAGTGATTGGTAAATATCACGACCCGATGTCCCCTCTCCTGCAACCCGACCGCAGCATCGACGACAAGGCGCTCAGCACCTCCAATGCCAAGATCAGGATGGAAGAAGACGATGGAGTCTTTATCTTTGGCGTCTGAAGCCATGATCGCGGTCTTGGTTTTTGGTGGTGGTGGTGGTTATGAGAGGCTACGTACGGTGTTTGGCTAGTGGGGGTTTTTGGAGTTGGAAATGAAAGCTCCAGTGGGGCTTGAGAAGGAGGCCTGCTATTGGCTGGTGATAACTGGACAAGGACCTTTATCACAAGCGATAAAAAGACTTGGGTAGGCTTGGCGTATTTTAGCAGAGCTTTAGACCAGTTTATTCTGGCACCCTAGTTCAACGTCAGAAGTTTTATTTCCCTTCGAGGTTGGGGTGCGTGGCTGTCATGGGAAGTGGGACCGTTTCATCATGAGCGGTACGTATCTGTTTACCCCAGAATCTTTAAATCGTTCACATGCAAGAGGCTCCAGGCATCACGACAAACAATGCATACATTATTAATAAAATACTTGGACTCGGGTATTAGTATCAGTATCTCGCTCTCCAATATAAAAACCCATGAAATTCCTTGTATCATGTGATCTCTCATATGCCGAGCTGCCCATCTCAGATTCATCATGTATCTCACTTTACCCCAGGCATATCCACAAGCCGAGGTGTTTTCCTTAGCCGGCCTTCAATTCCACGGCTCTTATACCACCCAACAACGCCCACTCTCCCTCACAACCTCTCATCTCACTCTCAAATCAAACCATAGAAAAATGTCTACTCTCTTCACACTCCCCATCGCAAAGTGCGGCGCCCATCCCGGCGGAACCCTCACATGCACAGAGCCCTCACCGAGAGTCTACCTTCTCACCCTCCTCTCACCACCCGACAACCGTCTTACAACACCCGTTCTCAAAGCCTTTCTCAACGCCCTGGACATCATTGAGTTTGGTTATCCTCACGGTGTTGTGGCGACTACTTCTGGAATCCCAAAATTTTATAGTAACGGTCTTGATCTTGAGCATGCTGTTGCGACAGAGGGTTTCTGGCCTTTGCTATATGATGTCTGGGCTCGTTTCTTGACGTACGTTTACAATACTACTAAGTGCTATGAGTGGTGCGCTGACTGTTTTAGATACCCTATGCCCACAGTGGCTCTCATGAACGGCCACGCTTTCGCAGGCGGTCTCATGCTCGCCACAGCCCAAGACTACCGCCTCGCGCCAACTCCACGAGGTTTCCTCTGTCTCAACGAGCTTGTCTTCGGCGCACCCCTCAAACCCGCCATGTCAGCTCTCTTTCGCATCAAGTACTCCCACTCAACCTACCGAAGCCTCGTCCTCGAAGCCAAGCGCTTCACAGGCGAGGATGCCCTTGCTGCTGGTATCGCCGATGCTCTTGCGCCCAAGGGCCTTGAGGATCTGCTCAACTTTATCAAGGAGAAGGAGCTTATTGATAAGAGCAAGTCTGGTGTTTACGGCGTGTTGAAAATGGAGATGTACGCTGGTTTGGTCGAGTTTATGAGAGGGCCTGCTATGGAGGCGCACGAGCAGAGATTTGAGGAGGCGCAGAGTAGGGAGGGTGAGAGGAAGGAGTTTGGAAAGGTTTGGTATGAGCAGTGGTTGAAGGATGCTAAGGCTAAGCTGTAGATGGTTGTTGTACGATATATGTGTGAATTTATCCGTCGTGGCTGGCGGAGTTTTGAATGTTATTGTCGCAGACTTACCCTCATATACCAAAATATCGACCTCTTTACGTAGGGCCTACCCTCATATACCAAAACCACTCTGTATATCATCGGCGAAGAGTGGTGTAGGGGTATCTACCTATAACCTATAAACCTTCTAAAACCCGAACCTAAATCCTAAAACTCTCTTCCCTGCGCCACTCTTCGTCTTTTGCAGTTCGTGTGTTCGAATTCAGGGTGAACCGGGCTTCTCTGTGAGGTGTTTTAAGATCTATCGTGACGTTGTGATGCTTTTTTTGTCGAATCGAAGGGCTAGCAGCCACAGCTTACAGACGTCACGTCCATACTCACTCTGGACTCATGTCCTCACGAGTCACGTCTCTTGAGTGTATAGTCCACTACAGCATTACCCAAGAGGTACAGGCGAATGCTATCAAATACATAGCTACCAAGCAACATATCATTAAAAGCCAAGCCTATATCCATACACCTACTGCGCCAAGCTCGAACTTAGGAAACTTGGTATAAAGGATTAGCCCTATTTTATTGCTCCCACCAAACGCCATATATGCGTACCAAATACGCCTCATGAATATACCGGGCCATCCCTCGTGGGTATATGCGATGTGACATGCTCAGATCTATTATATAAGTCCGCCGAATCAATGACCGCCCTGGCCCATGTGCGGATGCTGATGCTCAAAAAGACTCAACACATCTGAAGGTATGTAGTCTAACCAAGGCCCCATCATGTCTGATTGCTGCAGTCCCAAAGCAGCAATGTCTATATCCTGGCTGTCGAAGGTGATGCCATCCATGCTCCCCATATTTCCCCAGGGCATCACATATGGGAAACTCGTTTGGCCAAAATACATGGCGTTTGCCCCTGAAAGGGTCGTGGCTGGGTTCACGCCATTTTCAGCCATCGCTGTCGGTGGCGAGACACTATATGTATCAAAAGCCGTAGAAGGTGGATTTGTCGGCGTAAACCTCGACCCAGTAGTGTAAATATCATTGGCCTCACAGTCCTCCGGCAACCCATCGAACTGAACAGTAGGACGAGTTTGTGTACTCGTTGCTGAGAGGTTCGAAGTTCGGCGAGGTACAACCGGGCGAGACGACTGCCGCACAGCTGAAACATTGGGCTGGGGATAAGCTGGCGCAAGCATGCCCGTCGAGTCTGGTAAGCTCTGCCGAATAGGGTCAAATATCATATTGCCAGGTGGCGTGCTGGGAGCTCGTGCCGGCTGTGAAGTTTGAGCTCCAGTTCCTGGCGTCGAGTCTCGATTCTGATACATGAGTGTCAGGCTCGAGTTTGGAGAGTTGGCAGTTCCTGCCAGAGTCCACGCTATAGGCGGGCCGGACATCCTTGGTGATGCCTTATTCTCGAATTTGGGGAACGGGTTGTTCAAGGCACCGCTACTGCTCTTGCGTCCAGCTTTAGTACTTTCATATTCTTCTGCTGTATACGTTTCGCAATCCCATATTCCTTTGGCCCTCTGGTCCAATGCAGTGATGATGTAGGTAGCTCCACCCCAGTACATTTGCACTTGTTGCAGAGAATTAAAGCACTTTTGGTAGTTCTGATTTGCTGCCGAAGCCAGCAAGGAGTGTCGTGAGGATTTGACCTCTCGAGGTTTATTGCCTCCTGGAGCGTCCGGATGATGCCCACCGGATGGTGAGTTGGCCCGTGAGGGTGAGCTTGATGCGTTTGCGCTTGACTCCATCACAAAGGCGCAAGCTGCAATGTAGATTGGCTGACTAACAAACGGGTTTCCAATAAAACTCTTGGAGTCTATCAAGTCTGCAAAAGACAAGATGTCGCAAATCGTTTTTGCGCTGCTCATACTGAGCTCGCGACTGTCTGGCAAGAGTTGCAACTCACTGCGGAGTTCAGCAAAGGGTGTAAGGAGAGTCGGTTGATGAAGGATGATGAAGAGAGCATGGAACCAGAAATGCAGCAGGATGAATGTGGTGCCCTGGCCTGCTCCCAAATACGCTTTGAAGTTGTTGACATTAAACTGTAGCCGCCAGTCCCAACTCTTGTAGAGCCTGGTCAGCTCATGCTCCATCTCACCAAGCTTATCCCATGTTTCCTTGGTGAGATCCTGCGCATTGCGAATTTTGTTGAGAACGTCACATACACGCCCGTAGAGGTGGATTATTTGGAGGAAGATCGGATAAGGTGCTGGCCAACCAGTCGCTGGGTCGATGAATGGCTCTGGGAATGAGAGCTCCAAGTCGTCATCTCGAAATGTGACAGGCCGTCCTGTCCCTGATGAGATGACACGATCAAGAATGAAGACTGCCCAAAAAGTATCCATCCTTTCTTGTACGAGCTCCTTTTGCTCTTGAGCACTCAGCTGACTCGATTCACCTCCTTTCGCCTCGGAGCTTCCTTCGTCAACCGGATGGCGACCCCAGTTCTGAGAATACAGAGCGTCCTTCTCGCCATGATACTGAACTCCCACCTCTTTCTGCAACCCTAGGTCGACAGCCATACGAATAGCAAGCCCGAGATACATCCATAGAGCGCTGTCCTGGCTTGCTCCAAAGCCCTCATAAGCCATGAGAAGACAAGCTTGCACAGCACCAACAGTCGGACACGGGAACGTATCAACAGTGGCTTGTCTGGCTCTTTGCGCAAACACTGCGCCCCTTTCCATCCTTGGCATTTTGTCGTTTCCGTTTGTAAGGATTGGCGAGTCGGAGAATCTGGCGGCCAGAGCGCATATTGAGTCAACAAGGATCGGTTCAACTCTCTTTTCTTTGACCATCCGTAAGAACTTTGACTGTCGAAGGAATGGGTAACTGGAGCCCATTTGCACAAAGAAGGTGTTGATGAGACTGATTATTAGTGGGTGAACTGGAGCTGAATCATTGGGGTCGTATGTAGGTAGTTCCTCGCTGACTACATCGCTCCCAACAGCTGAGCTGCTTCCTTGCGGCCCGCTATGTGTTGATATCGGTGACGTCCCAGCCAGTGAACCAGCAGTCGAGCGCCGGCGATCGCGCACAGAAACAACCATTTGTTTAAAACCAGGCACGATAGCAGTGGGGCCGAAGTATCGAAAATAGGGGACGCGGTGACTTTCGGAGCGTCGCACAGCAGTAGGAGAAGTTGATAGAGTGGAGAGGTGATGGCCATTCTGCACAGTCGCATTCGGAGTTTCGCGGTCCTCAACCTTTGGATCGATCATATTTGCGAGCGACATTGTCGTCCCTGAAGCTGCATGTGAATTTGGAGTTTCAGGCGCGTGCTGTGCTGGCACAGACGCCTTCTCGATCTTGATAGTCTCATCATGGTAGTGGCGGGGTTCGTGCTCGTCTCGTTCGTGGGCCTGCTTATCCAACGGCGATGGTTTCTCACAATCCTCCCTCTTGATTTCCTCAGGGTATCCTAGACATTGGTGGCCGTTCTTGGTACAGGTAGAGCAAACAGGCCGTTCGCCAGCGCATCTCGTCTTTCGTTTCCGACAGGTCAAACACCTGAGCCGCAAAGGGGTTAGCACCTGGCAATTGGGTCGAGGAAGAGTTGGGCATTGTGTAGCAGGAAGATAGACTAGACTAAAAGACAATATACTGTGGAAAGTAGAGTCATGCGACTAGTTCTGTGTCACGATGTCATGGTGGTACGACCGGAGTATACTTACGCAGCGTTGATTCTGCGCCGCTTAGAAGGCGGTTGTCCTTGATTATGTACAAAACGAATCGGACGCGGTGGCGGCGGAACCGAATCCGATGTATTTGTCTGGGTGCTCATGACTTAGAACATGGTGATGCTTCTCCTGGGGGTCGTGTAGTTGGGCGCAGAAGCGGGCAGTCGTTGGGAGTTGAAGAAGCCCAGCGCAATATGGAGCCAGGCGAGTTTAAGCGATCCGAGTATGATGACGAGTGACAAGCTGACCGGCGGGGTTCGACGTCTTTCCGGGCGTGTTGCAGAAAACTGTGGCTGTCGATATTGGGCAAATATGCAACAGGTGGCGAGGCAATGCAACCTCGGGGAAGGAGGACGCAAGGCAAGGGATGCGAATGCGACAGGAGAGTTGTTGCGATGGTTCGTAATTTCTAGGCGAAGGAGTTAAACTGGTGATATTCCCGTATATGAGCTAAAAGCCGTAAAGCTGGGCAAGGGCGCATCAATGGTTGAGGAGCATGATCTGGATTGGGTTTGGGTAATCAATCAGGAACATGAAACTAATAAGCGACGGCACAGAATGAAGCTCGTGAAGTAGACCGGGGGTTTGAGATTAGGCAATGAGAGAGGAGTTGACGAGGACTTTAGTGTTGAGTTGTGCCGTGACGCAAGAGAAGACGGATATAATAGAGTGATAATTAAGACGGAAATATTAAGAAAATATGACTAGAAGAAAGGATGAGAGGGAACAAGATGCAATGACAAAACGAATATGATTGCAAAAGTGGACGACAGGGAACTGAACTGTGCCCGGTCTGGGGACGGGGATGGTGTTTAGGCAGGTGGGGTAATTGCTCATGTGGAGAGAAAAGAACTGCAAAGCTCAAGCCTCAAGTGATCAGAGACATACGCAACACGCAGAAATAACTTACAAGCTAATGTCCTCCTATTTCGTCGACAACAGGTGTAAGTTTGTAAGAGAGAAAAGGAGAGGCATAGTCGAAGAGAAAATAAGGAGCCAATGCAACACAACAAAACTGGGCATCAAAAAAACCAAACATCGTCACATCAGTGGCAATAAATACCTACCATTAGCCTTGATCCCTCTCTCGTACCTCAGTCTCTCCTCTTTTCCCTCCCTCATCCCACTCCCATTCATCCTCAGCCCTTTCCCACGGAGTCATCACATCCAATCCTCCTCCTCCAACTCCTCTTCCTCCTGTCCCTGTTCCCCTTTTCTAGCCGTCGCCCCCAACCTTGTTAGTGAGAACCAACGTAACGGCCCGCTTGCCGCCTTGTTCAGCCCCCTCCCAGCACCACGATGA